AAATGAAAGACACTCGTAATATCCCACCAAGAAAATTATGCGCAGATTTCAAGAGGCACAGTGAGAACTGCCTGAGCTAAAGCAAGAAAGTAATAGCTACATTATTCAGAAGTAAATTAATATATACCTAATGGCCTTACATGCTGCCTACTCATACATACTCTAAAAATCAAAAACAAAAGACAAAGAAAAGGAAAAGAAAAAAATATAATTGAGCAAATTGCGTGTTAAGAAAAAAAGGTAATCAGAGGAAGGAGAAATACGAGATCCTGTGTAAGGCATCATTTGCAAAGCCACACTGGAAAGATTGGGTAGAAGCAAAAGGATCTAAAAATAAGAAAATCAAAGAGAACAAAAGGGAGATTGTACCATGTATGAGGAGAAGGGAGGATGCATCTGTCCGCTACTCAAAGGACAAGATAATAGTGGATGAAAGAGAAGATAGCCTGGGATGGGAGAATAATTTAATGAAACAAAAAGAGCGAAACTGAATCCAACAGGTAGCTGTTGTCTGGTAGTGCTTAGCATTCATCCGTTACATTATCCATACCCCGGCCTGGGTGCGCTGGAGTTCTGTGAATTTCACCTTTACAGTGACACCACAGTGAAGTCACTCTCAACCGCCATTACCCACAGATCCGTGGCAGCAAACCTAGGGCACACGTGCCACAGCGGGCCGTGTTACCACCGAAAGCTCTGAAAGTTTCACGGTAACTGTCACCCATGACAGAGCTTTTCTCATGATTCCTAATTTATGGAGCCTGTGTGGGTAGTCTTGACAAAAGTGAATCCTCCTCACTCAACTATTGTATAATGAGGCGTGATTTTCAAAAACATATCTGGCTAATGTTCTGTTACGGGCTCTGAAATGTCTTCACTCACTAAAATCCAAAGCTTTATACATATTAACGAACTACATGGAGGATTGTCCTCTTCATTTTTTACGTACTTTTCTGGTATTCTTGAATGGCAACCAAATAAAATAGTATTTCCTATAGACCAGATGTAAAGCTGCAAGGCCTTGAGTTTGTGTTTTTTTCCCCCAGTTCCTTATATCAAGTGTCGCTTAACTCTTCCTTACCTTTGCTTTCATGCCCATCTATCTCTAAAGACAGGCAGGGCAAACTCATCTCAGCAGCACATATCCTAAAGACAGGAAGGGCAAATGAGGTAACAAAGTATTGTAAACCCTCCCCAACCTGTGCATTGACCCAGGCCGCAGCTGACTGTAACCCATCCTCCAGAGCGCTAATCCATCTTCCGGGTGAGCCAGTGCAATTGGTGCCAGGACCTCTTGGCCCTTCCTATCCTGAGGTGTGGCCAGAGAGGAAATTTTTGTCTGAGCAGAGGAAGGGAATCTTCCTTCACAGGCCCCATGCTGACTCCGAAGAGGTCTGGCCACCCTCCACTTGTCCTCCTGCCCTCTCTGGCCTGGAACTTGGTGTGCAGTTGCAGACCTTGCTTTGAATTACTGTGAGGCCAGGTGCTAGAATTCAGCCCCGCTGGAACCGGAAGTATTCATGCCTGGCTGTCCTGCCAAGCACTCAGATGCTGCTCTTGAGCAGCCCTTTCCTGTGAGGCTCTGAGAAAAGCTCAAAAGCTGCTCAGTATCCACATTTGCTGGCAAGCACAGCACCAGGCATATGGTCGGTTTGAACGGCTTTGCGAACCCTCCAGCAAGCTTTAGATCTCCAAAGGGGGATTTGGTTTGATTGTCATTGTATCAGCCAGTCACCCAATATCTTTGCCCCCTACAGTTTGCCAGGCACTTTGCCTGGCACTCTAGGGAGTAAGAGATAAGATATAGCTGTAGCCCTCAAGGATAGAGATTAGGTAATTACGACAAAACACATAACAAAGACGCGGCCCACTGTAGTCCTGAATGGTGGTAAGGACAGCAGGAAAGTGCGCCAGGATGGTCAGGGACAGCTTCACCGAGACGGTAGGGTTGCACTGAATCTTGCACGGAAGGCTGGATTCATTTTGGGTAAGTGAAGTCCAGAATCAATAATATAAGCAGAATATTTTTCTAAGAAAAAAAGAACAATAGGCGAGAATAGTAATGAGATTGGCAAGATTTGTTAGGAGAATTGTTGTCTAGTCATCTACTTAACCACATGCAAAGGACATTAGCTGTAAGGTAGGCATCAAACTGGAAGCAGGAACTAAGCGGTGATCAAGAACTTCCCGTCAGAGCTCACCTGTTGGTTGGGGAGGGAGTCAATAAATAGGTAAGTCGCAGGATTCCTCATTTTTATTGGTGATGTTGGCATTTATAAGGTGAGAAATCAGATGGATACTTACTTAGTTTGAATACGTAAGTAACTTTCCGATGCATGACGCTACTTATGAAGGAAATGCTCTGGTGCAAGGAATGTAGAGAACTCGATAGGACCCCTGGGGAAGGCCACGCTGAGCAGAGACAGGGATGGGGGATAAGGGAAGGGTCACACATCTGGAAGAGCGAAGGAGCGGTTCATTTCAGTGAAAGACAACGCCATACAAGAAAAGCCTTGAGAAGGGAAACGTTGGCATATTTAATCCAGTATTAAAAAACAGAGATTCGTTGAATAGAGCCTTTGTGTTTCTTATCATGCATGTTGCAGGATTCTTGGTGTCTTAACGGTGGAGTAGGCAAATAACTGGTACTAGGAGTGAAATGTTGGTTTGTGAAGGCTTGTACTCATTATAACCTAAGTGTTATAGGCCAGTAGCAGAAGACCAGACAATGAACATGGTCTTCATAATGTAGAGTGGAAGAGGCAGTGTATTAATACAAGTTATTCTTTAAAATAGATGTTTTGGGGCTGGGGATTTAGCTCAGTGGTTCCAGTGCCTGCCTTGCAAGCTCAAGGACCGGAGTTCAATCCCCGGTACCAAAAAAATAGATGTTTTGAGTTATTAGCAAAAAATTGGTCGGCTTAATAGTGTTAATATTTATGTAAACCATGGTCATTTTGGAATGTAGAAAAGATATTAGTAAAGCAAAAAATAAAATTTCAGTTCAAATTATTATGTTCATTTTCTCTATAATGAGAGATACTAGTGCTGGCACTCTCTTAATTTTTAAAATATTGGAGATGACCATATTGTAGATCAAGTTCCTTATTATAATGTCCCATAATACCTAAAAATAGGAATGATATCAGAGAATACAGTCAAGTTTAGACTAAAGATATACCAAAGGCAATACATACTGACAACATTTTAAGGCAGTTAACCTCAGTTATTCAAAAGTAAAATAAAAAAACTATATTGTAAGTGTGTGTGTGTCGATAAAGCTATTTGAGCAATCTGAGTCATGAATTCAAGTGTATGCAAGGGTGGAAGTTTAAGGAAATTAGTGTGACACACTTATAACACCTACCACGAAAGTAAGAGCTTAAGTCACTTAGGAATTCCACACACAGTTTACTTCCAAATAGTCTTTGTAAAAGTCTACCAATAAAATTAATTCTATTGATAATATTGTAGAAGAGTATGTATAGAACATTAAATATATCAATTAATAGTCTCCAAGTTATTGTGTATGTACTGTAAACTATTAAGAGGAGTTTTAAAGGCTGGGTGTGGTGGTGCATGCCTGTAATCCCAGCACTCGGGAGGCTGAGGCAAGAGGATCGCTGTGATTTCAAGACCAGCCTGAGCTACATAGTGAGTTCCAGGTCAGTCTCAACTACATAGTGAGACCCTGTCTCAAAAAAAAAAAAAAAAAAAAAAAAGGAGTTTTAAGATGTTTTTGCAATGGCTCCATCTAACTTTGGAAACTTTTATTTGTCATGTTGACATTTGGAGGCTGAGAGATTAGATGGTAATACTTGAACTTCATATTGTACCCTTTATGTAAAAATCTAGAAAACTTTCATGAATTAAACCTCTTGCTTCCCTCTGGGAAATCACAAAGTGCAGAGCAATTCCTGGAGTGTCTCTTGACATGTTCTGTGCTGGCCAAACAGTTCTATTTAAAATCCACATGTGTATATTAAAAAGTTAATTCTCTGGCCATGCCTAGAACACAAATATTCTGCTACAAGACTGAGAGCATTAATACACTGTGAACTTGGACCTCATTCAGAATTCTATGGAGGCAGTTTGGTTATCTGATTCATTATCTGTAGTGAGATTATGCACATTCTTCGGGTAAAAAAGTCCTGTTGCTATAAACATATGTAAACACACCTATGTTTAAGTCTTATAGAAACTTTTTAAAAATGTGATATTACCCACGCCGTTTGTATTTGACTGTGCTGTCTCTTAACTATGGTGCACATCAAATGCACTGTGTTGTGTCACATGGTATTTTCAGCATGAGCAAAAATGAACATGAGGATATTCTTTGGAAGATGAGGCTTGGGGATTCTGATTTATTTTGATGCCAGTGGTATGTGTTCGACGATTCACGGACATATTTATGGTGACCCGATATGGGAAAGTTAGTGTTTATTCTCTCAGTATTGTACTGCCATCTTTGAAGTGTTACAAGACAAGCGTTTACTACTGATAGCTCAGCACTTCCCCCTCTTTGTTTCTTTAATTAACGTATCGATCAGAACTGAATCTATGGGGCCGAGCTGATTGAGACAGACGGCCTGTTCCTCCCTCTGGAGATCATTGCTGCACTCCACATGTTTTCAGTAAATAAAATATGGACAAAACTGCAACATGTGGAGGCTGAAGATTTCATTAAAGACTTTTGGCAACAGGACCTTGAAGATATTTCAAAAATAATTGTGTTTTATCACTTCTTCTGTGCTATTGCATATCATGAGGCATTTAAGAGGACCAAATGCAGCTCTCTGATTGCCATTTAATGAAAGAAGTAATAAAGTTTAATTGTATACTTGAGCGCAGGGCATCATTTCCAGTACATCTGATCAATAATTCATTGATTGCTTTCGACTCAAAGGAAAAATTGCAAGAAAATGTAACCGGTGGGAGCTTATATGGCTGTAGCTTCATCATCTCTATTAATTATGCTTTTCCCAAATTTGGATCATCAGGCCACCAAAGTGACAGCAGATGGCGAGCAAATGGGACAGGATGCTGAAAGGACGAACACGAGAGCAAAATCCTTAGGAGAATTCATGAAGGAGCTTGCCCGGGATGCGGAAGGTATTAGAAAAATCACATTTTAATCACTATTTCTCCCAACAGAAAACTAGAGAAAGACATTACACAGAGCTAGATTTTCTCTTCTAAGAGGTGACATTTCTAAAGTCGAGGGTTGGGTATTTAAGGCATATTTTCGTTGAGATATTCGGTGGATTTACCCACTGGGCACCCGTGACTTCCAGTGTTCAGTGAATAACAGCAGTTGGTGAATGGATGACTATAAATGCAGAATGGCAGTGAATTTTTGAGGGGTTGATATTGTACGTAAAAGGTTCGTGGGAACCCTACGCTTTGCTGTGTCTTGTATTTAAAATATTTTTGGTTTTTTAAAAGCTAATTTTATGACTCCACTCAGCACAAAAAAGCAGCACTTTATTTTCTCAAAATGGCCTTTGGATCCTTGACGTTTTAGTGAACATCTGTTGCTTGCTTGGGTCTTGGAGTTGCTGCTTCATCAGAAGCTCCCTGTACTGAGCCCGCAGTTCCTGAGTCCGTTCTGGGCCTCTGCCAATATGGTTGAAGATTAAAGTGGAATCCAGTTTTGGGCAGAAGCCCAGATAGAAACTCTTACTGAAAACAGATGATGCCCCCTCTCACACAGAAAGTACTTCTTAAGTATCTACCAATGTGCAATACACATGCATGTATGTTAAGAAATTAGAAAGTGGGTTTTTTTTCTCCTTAAAAATAAAACACTTATTCTTTTGCAGTGTTATGCATGTTAGATATTTTACTTTGTAATATAGTCAAATAAATAAAGATCTGATCTTCAAGAAGATCCTGACTGGTAATTTTTAAACATCACTGGACAAGAGACTGAAACTTCCAATGATTCCTCAATGCAAAAAACAACAGAGTTTAACCAAGCGTAGTAGCACATGCCTGTAATCCCAGCACTCGGGAGGCTGAGGCAGGAGGATCACTGTGAGTTCAAGACCAGCCTGGGCTACATAGTGAGTTCCAGGTCAGTCTCAACTACATAGTGGAACCCTGTCTCAAAAAAACCAAAACAACAATAACAAAAAAAACCAAAACAACAGTTTAACTCTAAGGCATAATCTCAGGCAAGACATGTCAAGATCTGAAAGACGTGGCATCTAGAAAACTCTGTTACCTCATTGCGGATTTTTTGTTTCTGTTGTTTTTGGGTTTTTGTTTTGTTTTGTTTTTTGGGGTTTTTTTGTTTTGTTTTGGCCCTGCTAGATGATATTATTATGATTTCTCTGCTAGTATTTTCCAGTAATGCTACTGGAAAGCTTTCTTCATCCCCTAAAACATGGAAACCACAACTGACAGCACCACATCTCACGGTAGGCAGAACGTCTGCACTCCATGGGCATCTGTGGGAGCACCGGGCAGCAATCCAGGAACTCTCCATTCTTCCCCTCGAACTCTGAAACACTCGACACCAGACAACCCAGCTGAGTGATTGTTTTCAAAATTATTTCAGTTAAATATTGGTGCGCGAGAACAAAATGCTAACACGGGTGTTACTAGAGTGCAGCGTCAGCGCTGCTTACTCTCTTCTTTGCATTGAGCCTTCCTCTCCTGACAGATTCATGATGACTCCATTTGTTCATGGGAATTTTGTTTTTAGGCTGCCTAAGGCCTCTGGGCACCATTGTGCAGTTTGACCACCACACAACAGCACCAGTGTGTGCAGAGCAGAGATGATATTTACCCCGGGCTTTGTTTAATGCCCACAGTCTCTGGCCCATACACCAGCCAAAGGGGTTACCTTTTCACCAAAGGTCTATTTCCTAAGGTGTGCGTTGCTCAGGTAACCTGACTGCCTCTATCCAAGTGCCCATCTTTTTTAAACCCATGTGAAGTAGCAGGTGTGATAGCTGTGCCTGACAGAAGTAGAAACACCAGTCACTTTGCAGGCAGCCTCTGGCAGCAGTATGCGATCGTTACTACTGAAAGTTCAAATGTAAATACACCTGATCTATACTAGATTCTCTCTTAGCTGGACTACAAGGGTTGACAGATGAGGCTGCAGGAAAGAGAACAGGGAGGTAAAGGAAGAGAGGAAGAGAAGGAAGAGGCAAATAAGGGATGAAGGGGAGAGGAAGACAGAGAGGGAAAGACAGAAGTCACCAAAAACTTAGGTTATTTGGCCTCTCTCTCGCTGTCTCTCTGTGCCTCTCTCTCTTTCTTCCTCTCCCTCTCCCTGCCTCTTCCCCTGAGAGTAGTCATGTGTACTTTCACATATTATTCGTGGTAATAAATTGCTGTGGAAAAGTGAACACTTCAGCCCGATATTGGTCTGCGGCAGTTTTATGTTTAGATAGAACACCAATCCTATCTTCTCTTAGAAGTCCTGACTCCTTTGTAGGAAATCAACTTCTATTCATCTAAGGTATTCTTAGCTCACTCTAATTTTGTAATATCTACTCTGCTGTGACCCTGTATTAGATGATGTATATGCTATATTTTACTCTATGAATTATTAATATTAATGAGGACACGAGGACAAACCCCACTAGTGCTTACACCCTGACGTATGACAAGAATTAATGCTCACTGTCTTTCTTTGCTGTCTCAGGTCAGAGTAGCATTTTTCATTCTTGATAAATATACCTATCAGATTCCAGAGCAGTCTGAACTACATAGTGAGACCCTGTCTCAAAAAAAAAAAGGAAAAAAAATTTACCTAGCAGAGGAGTGTTTTCCTCAGGTTTAATATAAAAGAACATTTTTTGGCCACTTTTGGGGAAAAATTTCATTTGTCTTTTGTGAATCTCACATACCTCCTGAGACACCCCTGCTTCTCTTTGGTGCCTTTTCTGCAGAGGTGTCTGACCTGCTGGAGAAACTTCACATGTGCCTTTCTGTTAGTAATACTTTCCGTGACTGACATTGATTTTCTCCTTTACCTCTGTTTGGTTTTATGTTAATCTTATCTTATGTTAAGGCGATTTTTTAAATGTCTAAAATCCCTCTACAGAAGAAGAAATAAATGAGAAAATTCAAATTATATATTTATTTTATAATTATTTTAATGCTCTGGAACACATTTGAAGAAATTTCAGTCCACTGTATATTCAGTAGAGCAATAAACTTCTAACATGATGATACTTTTTTAATACAGCGTCATTCTGCTAACATCTTGTGTACCCTATTAATTTCTTCATTTACTATTTTTTTAACTTAAAGGTAATGACAGGTGCATTCCAAAAGATGTGGTCAAATTTGCCTTTACTTTTCCTCTCTTGTGTTATACATTTTCCACCAAATTCTTCTCTGCCAAAGTTTAGCTCTGAGAATTGAACGCAAAAGAAGCAGTGAAATTGCATCTCACGTTCTTCCTGCTTGGGATGTGGACCTAAATGGGATTAAATTTAAAATAAAATCCCATATCAAAATATATTTTATTACTTATACATTCAATAAAGGAAAATGTGGCTTTAACAAGCTCAGAAGTAGGATTTATCAGTGTAATATTCTAAAAAGTTAACACAATTGGTATCTGTAGTTCCATGGTACAATGAGTTAAATCAGCTGTACCAACTGCTGAACAAAGAAGGTGCATTATATCATAAAGACAGCCAAATCCACTACAGATACTACTTTTCTTTAAATCTTAAAAGCATAAACCTTCTTATTTTATCTGTGTGTGTGTGTGTGTGTGTGTGTGTGTGTGTGTGTGTGTGTGGAACCGGGGCTTGAACTCAGGACCTTGCACTTACAACACAGCCAGCAGCACCACTGAGCTAAATCCCCAGCCCAGCCCTCTTAAATTTAGTCATTGGAACTCTGGCATGTTTCACACACAGTCTACTGAATTGGGAGGCTTTCAGGTTTACCCATGGTCACTGGCACCATAACACAGACGACACAGCTTAGGTGACACCTCTCTGACAGTGGTGGACCTTGGGAAGGGCCGTAGCATATACTAAGCTATTACTATTAAGGAGCAAACCAAGAAATCATCACCCTAACTCTTAGTAATAGAGCACTTGAGTGATATTTATACCACAGGGCTAGGGAATGGCCATATTTGATTCTTAAAACATGTGGTTCGATTTTTCTGAAATTGATCTATTTCTGTCTAAGTATTTTCGGAATAGTATCACCAAATATTATAGACTTACTGGCTTATGAACAACAGAAATTTATTTCTTGCCCTTCAGGAAGATTGTGGGACCCACATAGTTGAGGTTTGGGGTGGGGCTACTTCCTGGTTCCCAAGTGGATATCTTCTTGCTGTAAGCTCACATGGTGGAAGGGCCAAGGGAATTCTCTGCATCTCCTGTATAAGGACTTCTTTCCAAGGCCCCGCCACTAAATAGCATCCCAAGAGGAATTAGGTTTCAACGTAAGAATTTAGGGTGATTATCAAAATTTAGTCTGTGGCAATGGCCGTGTGGATTAAGGTTCCCATTACGCAGAACAGTTTCTTACCAAAGACATGGAAAAGGGAAAGGGGATTATAAAGACACATTTTGGAAAGGGTAGATTAGAGATTGAAACTCAGTTCCTTCTCCTACCCTAGGATTGCTCACGCTTCAACATGTGTCAGAAGTTCCTGCAGGGCTTGTTTAAAATGCAATCTTGCTGGTCCCCCACGTCTAGACTTTCTGACTCAGTAGGTCTGCGGGAAGCCTGGGAATCTGCATTTCTAACAGATATGAAGGCAATTCTGCTGCTGCCCGATGAGAAGCACGATTCAGGACCTCTGTATGGACCCCGCTTCCCATTCCATGCTGGCTGAATGCTAGGGTTGTCTAGGAGATGTTTCCCATCCCTGAAAGTTGCCGTATCTGAAGACTTCTTTAAGAAAAACTAAATTCTGAGCATTTGTTTTTGGAAAGATATTTCTGATTTGCAATGAGTGTTCACGATTTACCCTGTCCTCGAGCTGTCTGCAGATTGTCCCCTTCATTGTCAGGAAGCATTTCTTGGCCAACTCGGAGTGCTCGGTCTGGGGCTTTTTTGTAGGTAATACTATAGAAATGAGTATTCGGCAGACAAAAGATTTTGAGAAAATATCTCCCTTCAACTCACCAAATTAATGTCCCTTAGCACACATTTCAAAGGTAATGGTAAGAACTGTGCAAATGTTCCAATTCACCAATGTTTTAAACTTTTATTTGACGTAGCATTTTTTCTTCTAAATGAAATCTTTCCCAGAACACCAACCTATAAAACAGATTCTTGGCAGAGCAGACATCATTTGTAGAATACCTGAAGTAGCTGGAGATTCCTGGTATTCCAAAGAGCACACCTTGAAACCCCATTTAATGCATAGTAAGCATAGACTGCTAGGATGGCTTTTGCTGCTGGCAGGGATCTTTGAGGCCTCCTCTGTGACTCTTGTTGCTAGAGCAGTGCTCCTTTCCTCACTTCTTTAAAAAGCACCCACAACAAACATGAGAGAACTCTGTGAACACAAAGGCAGGTTCACGTTCAGAGACCGTACTGCTAGTCGCCTTTCCGTACTCAGCATTCTAGAGCTGCCTGGATATGACTGCGTCCTCAGCGGTGCAGATCGTGATCTTTCTGTTCCCGAGGGTTGTACTACCCATCTCGTTTTTACTTCGTACCTGGAAGAGGGTTTGACCTACTTCTTTGTTTTCCTTCCTCTTCAGGTTGAAAACACTGTACTTTAATTAGCCCCCACAAGAAATCGAATGTGGAGAATGACACCACATTCCCTTCATGGTTACTGCCTGTCCTCATACCTGCCTCTGTTTCCCAGCAGGAACACCACTGGCAAATTACACTTCTTTCGGAGATGGTGGTAAAGAGCAGATGTTGAACGCCATTTTTGCCTGTGACACTTTTGTTTCCTCATTTACAAAAATTTGTTTTGCCTCTTGTAGGTGTAAATGAAAAAGCTGTAAAACTAAATGAAACTCTAGGAACTCAAGACAAGGCTTTTGAGAGAAACTTGCAAGAGCTTCAGAAAGAGATTGATCAGATGATGACTGAACTGAGAAGGAAAAATCTAAATGCACAAAAGGAAACTGCAGAAGATGAGTTAGTGTGAGTAAATCCACTGGTGTTTTTCATCAGATAAACTGAGCTTTGGACATTACTTACAGTTTTCTAAATGCCCATTACATGTGTGCAGAAGAGCTTTGTTTTTCTGATATGGAGATGTTTTCTATTTATCTTTCATTTGCTTAGTTATGCCTTGTCTTGCTCTAAAATGAACTACAATTATAGTTTTGCCTATATAAAAATAGTCCTCTAAATGATATTTTTGGGAGTTTCTATTCTGCACTTAGCCCAGTGGGCTTGCTATATTAATTACTTGTATCAAGGACTTTTAAATTATCAGTAGATTTTTTTGTTTTAATAAGACCACCTTTGGGTAAATAAAGCTTATTACTTCACCAGCCCAACCTACACATTATTTCTTTAGGAAATATTAGAAAGTTAAACTCAAAGAACTCTCAGATCATTCAGTTGGGAAAAAAAAGAAAAACAGATCAAAAAAGTTACTATACTAGCAAGGAAAAAAATACAGAGCTCTGTGAGCAGTTTCTAAGCACATATGTCAATATTCATCTTTTATGTTCAAAGTTGTAGAGAAAATGCCTCATTTTGGTGAAACAAGTGGCTCTTTTGTTTTATAATGTGAAGTGAATCACAAAACTCATTTCATCTATCATATTAGGAAAGTGACATGAATGCCTTTTGAGTAACAGTGTTATAATAATTTTAAAAGATGGGAAATCTTGCATTAATTTAAATTTAACAGTTTCCCCCTCTCAGAAACCAGTTTGCGGCTTGATTCACTACACAGTGAGGCTGCTTTGGCTGTCTTTTTTCTGTCTTTAACCTTTTTCGTGTTAGCATCCCTTTGCAGCACGGTTGAGTATCGGTAACCCAGGTGCTAATGCTTCCTGTCTGTGCTTGGACTGGGCATCTGCAGAGCTTCAGAGGGCCTGCTGATGAAAGTGAACAAGCTGTTTGGAGAGTCCAGGGGCAAAAATGAAAGAATGGAGAAAGATCTGCAGGAAAAGCTGGCTGACTACAACAACAAACTTGATGACGCTTGGGACCTGCTGAGAGAAGCCACAGATAAAATCAGAGAAGCAAACCGTTTATCTACAGCCAATCAAAACAACATGACTGCTCTGGAGGTGAGCTGCCATCACCAGTCCTGGAAGTAGTGTCCTCCAGAACAGGAAGTAGGCTTGAGACGAAGAAGGACAACTCTGAAGGGAGCCTTCTCAGATGCAGAATACAAAATGTGTATATCCTTAATGACCATTCCCACTGAATCATATAAAATCTAGATAATTTAGATTTCTGAAGATTTTTAAAGTCAGAATTCCATAGTGGTTGAAACTTTTTCCTAGAAGTTAGGGGACTTTAGTCTCCTGTTCCACTAACTTAAGTCTGATCAGACCAGTCAATGACCATTTCTGAGCATTTCTCAACTCTGCAATGAGTGCATTAGACTAAACTGTATCTACAGGATTTTCAAGTCCTGATATCATATGATTCTGTAATTCACCCAACCTAATCCAGAAACCTGGTTCAGAAACCTGGTTACCAAAAGTCACGGAAGTTCCCTTCATTTTTAGTGGAATCTGAGCAAGAATGAAATAGCTCATTGCAAGATCAATGTTTGAAGATAGTGGCTCCCTTTTGTTTTTGTAATGTTTTATGCAAATAATATCTTGAAAGGGACTAACAAGAACAAATCCAGGTCTGGGTTATTTTTGCCTCCTTTCTTGCAAGAGGTCAATAAATTATCAAGAAATTGTTGCCGAGGTTTTTAGATGCTACTAGGACTAAAACAGATTCTTCCATCCCTTCTTCTTTCCATTTTTTCAATTCCTTCTTTATTGTTAGCATGATAAATAATCACTTTTCATAAAACTACCTTCAATACATATACTGGCAAAAAGCTTATTTCATATTTAAATAGTCTTTCACTCCAGAAGCAAACCAGGGTTTTGGAAGTCTCTTAGCCCGACAGATCTGAAAGCAGCCAGAGGTCTTTCTCTCTCCTGACAGATAATTTTACCCTCAACCATACTCACCACTCTGGCCTAGTGTTTGCTCTCAGAAATGTTTACTGAGTGATAATGATGGCTGAATAAAGAAAAACTGGATTTTTAAATTTCTTGTTTCTCTCCATTTTCCTTTGGACTAAGTAAGAGAATGAATTAAATGTTTGAGAAGCTTTTTTATTCCTGAGCTTTTCTGCAGGCATGTTAGCCTTATTATTTTGGTGGAAGATGGAAAAGGGTCCATTTTCTTGTAACCAATATATCCAATCTCAGCCAGTTTGACGTCTGTGGACACACTGGCCATACTGGAGAGAAATCACTGTCTGGAGAGGTGGGAGACAGCCTGTCCCATCAAAGACTCCAGCCTGATGCACTGTGCAGGAGACATGCCTGTGCTGCCGCTTACCCAGAGGGGCACCTCTCCATTTTATTACAACAGCTTCAGAAATTAAAATTGCCTGTGTGGAAAGTGTCATGAGCACCTGGGAAGTATTTCATGAAGAATTATAGTGGCACAGTAAATGGTGCCTTCAGCCATTCCTTCCTTTCAGTGATGTTTAAAGCCTAGAACCATCATTCCTGGGTACCCCAGAGATGCCTGCAGCTTCCGTTGTCAGCACTGAAGTTCTTTTTGTCTTTTCATTTTGTATACCTTGCTTAGCTAAAAGATTGCTTAAAATTTACTGGGTAGGATAAATAACTACAGCAACATGAGTAATGCACAGACTATTTAAATTTACTAGTCCACCAAGGTTGGTATCAGAACAGCTTTAAAAAGAAATTGCCTGGATCATTTTAAACAAACATGCTGTGTGGGTTTACGTAGATTGAGCAGGCTGGTCTGGGTTTGGCCTGGTATCCATAGCTTTAGACTCCCTGGGTTCGTTTGATGTCCATGCTGTTTTAAGAACAGTAGCTTTATTTTGCACACTGGGATATATAATGAACTCTTTCTAAAATAAACCTCTGTGCTTGTACCAGTGCCTACACTGACCACGAGATAATTAAGACTGACCTCACACTTTTTTACTTTAAGGTGATAAGCATGTAACTTTTATTTATTATTAAAACTTGTATCAAGTGCCTATTACATTCAGAAACTGTGCTGAAAACAAATTTGATTATTCAGACATGGTTGTAATATGTGATTCTTTTATTATTATTATTTAGTTTATTGGTACTTTTTAAGTATACAGTACAGTTACATTCATCATTGGGATCTTGTACCTTTACATGACAGATCTTGGTTCTCATTTTTCCCCATACTCCTGCCTTCCTTTCCCCCCCCTCCACCCCCCCCGCTATTTACAAAGTCATATGTGGTTCTTGCAACAGTAGTCTGAACATCACCTAGAAACTCATTTAAAATCCAGCATCTCAGGCCCCACCCCAAACCCCTCAACTCAGAAACTCTGAGATGTCGGGCAGCCTGCATCTTACAAAGCCCCTCCAGTGGTTCTGAGAAGCCTTATGTTTGAGAACCAATGATTCATTGTGAATTAACTAGTCTGTGATGACGCCAAGTGACTTGTATCTAGGGAGAGGTACACATCAGCAAAGCACTTTATACACTTCACTGGTTAACATTGAGGTAGGAAAAGGACTTAAGTGAAGATAATCACCTCTGGTTCCAAAAGGGCTTCCTAGGGCTGGAGATTTAGCTCAGGGGTCCCACAAAACCTGTCTTGCAAGTGCAAAGTCCTGAGTTCGATTCCCAGTGGAAAAAAAAAAAAAAAGGAAAGAAAACAAAAGGGCTTCCTAGAGGCCCTGACACATGTGCTAGGCCCCAAAGGCTAAGCACTAGTTAGTAAGAACATAAAAGTAAAAACACTGAGCTGAGGATGTAGCTCAATGGCATTGTGCCTGCTTAGCAAGCACAAGGTCCTCTGTTTGATCCCTGGTACCAGGAAGAAAAAAAAAAAAGAAACAAAGAATAGTCTAGAAACATGGAAAAGGATATGTAAAGATAGGAAGAACAAAGGTAAGACATCTGAGAGAACACTGAGTGATTGGCTGAATTAGCATGAAGACTGCAAATGCGTGAGCGGACTGATAGCAGCAGGTATAGATAGGGCCCAGCCATTGTGGGATAAGAAAATTACTCTGTGAGGCTAAAGAATTTGATTTTTATCCTGAAAACTACATTAAGCAATTGAAATACAGAATCATAGATTAAAATTAAATTTGGAAGAATTCATGTAAACCGGGGAATTGGCTTGCATTGGAAAATAGTGTGACTTTAGGCTTGGGAAGTAGGCAGGGATAATATTTAAATATACTTTAATAGCTAAAATTTGGAAACAGCCAAATTGCCCATCAACTGGAGACTGAATAACGAAGATAAGTTTTTTTTGTATAAAATGGAGTACTACTCAGCCATAAAGAACAAGAAATTGGAGATATTTATAGCTAAGTGGATGCTCATTGAGCTATACTCTTAAATGAAATTAATAAGTCACACATGTGTAAATACTGAATAGTTTCTCTAGTGTGAAAAACAAAGTGTAAGGATCAAAATTTATTACACAATAATTTATTATTACACAATAATTGATATTACATAATAGGTCTAAAAGAGTAGAGGGAAGTGGGAGTGGTAGGGGAAAGGTGAAAAGGGAAAAGAAAAAATATGCCAAAAGAAAAAACATGGAAACAGTGACTTTGTAAACAGGGAAGGGTGGAGGGGGTGAGGGAAGGGCTGGGGAATGGGGAAAAATAAGAACCAAAATAAGCCATGTAAAGGTACAAGATCCCAGTGATGAGTGTGACTAAATTATATACTTAAAATGTACCAATAAACTTAATAAAAATATTTAAGTATATTCTAGGTAACTATTATATCAAGATGCTATTAGTCACCAGAGTATGAGGTTGGATAGGAATAATTCCTGGCTTCATAGAATTTAGATCCTCCTGAAAATTTCAAACATTTCAACCTTTCATTGCATGTAATAATTTGATATTTTCTGAGAAAAATCAGCAAAACATTTACAAAAACTATAGCATCATATCAGAATTGGGAGAAATTGAAAGAAAAGAGAGAACAGCATGAGGATGAACACAAAGCTCCAAAAGTGTAAGGTAACTTCAGGAAATGTCAAATAGAGCAGGGAAGATCATTCATAAGCTATGTAAAAGTCTGCAGCAGAAGATGGCTTTGGAAATGGCATTTGGAGCCAGAGTAGAGAGGACTTTGAGCACAGCCTGCCGAAGGATATGTGCTTAGAAGGGCATTTCCAGTGATGCAGAGAAAACTTGGGGGCCTGATGGACAGAAAGAGATGGGATTTGGCCCACACAAAGCATGGGCATTGAACCATCTGTTGCAAAGTCTGCCCTTATAATCTTGCTAAAGAAAAGGTTGCAAAGAAAGAGAAGGGTAAGTTGCTAAAGAATAGAAAGCAAGAAACTTTGTGCAGTTTCCTGAAGAATCTACCTTACCTCAGTTACAACAAAAGAAAAGTGGAATGTTTAACATAGCACTCTGGAATGAATTAAGATGTAAATAATTAGAAGTTAAAAGTAGAAGTATAATTAACCTTGATATCCAAAGAGAATGATTTAACAATTTATTTGTGGTATATTTTGAAGAAAAATTCTCTGTATACATGAGCCTTCTTATTTGTTCCTCAAATACTCTAAACTTTCTATCTGAAGTATTTTATATCCCGCATCATTCTCTGTCCATTCCCTCTTTTAATTCATTTGTATGGCATTTGTTTCAGTGTTACCTAAAATATGCATTCATTCACTTATTCATATTCTCCTTCCTCTTCTTCCTCTTCCCCCAGAGAAGGCACAGAGAACATGCCTTCTTTTCAACTACCCCCAAAGCCAGAATGGTGTCTGGAAAAAAGAAAAAATAGACATTTTTGATGCAAAAATGAAATATCATAAAACAAACATAAATAAATATTATCTCTATGCTTCCATCAATATTTGGGAATTCAAAATCGCCATATTTTCTTGTTTTACAGCTAGAGTCCATCAGTGTCTACTCTGAAATTAGACACACCTAAAATCTCTTTAATTTAGATCATTATTTCTGCTTTAGTATGATAAAGAACACATTTTGATCTGTGTGTGAAAATGAACTCCCTAAGTGATTCAGAGCTTTCCAAGAGATAATCTCACTGGTTTATGGAAACCAGCTCTTCACTTAACATATGTGTGAAAATATTCTCCTCTTTCCCATTGGTACATTGTTTTTATTTTATTTTACTTTATTTTTGCAATGCCAGGGATCTAACCCAGAGACTTCCACATGCTTGATAAGTGCTCTGAGTTACATGCTCATGTTATGGAAGGAATTGGTAAGTGACATGCACAGAGGCACAGAATGGAAGTAAAATAATGAAAGGTTTATTTTGTTAACAAAAGGCTGATCGCACTAAGAGCAGTGCCAGTGACTGACCCCCATACTGGGTTGCAGCTTTTTCTTTTACATATTTTATAGCCAGAATCTCATTCAGTTACATTTATCATTGGTTATATTTCATTTCCTCAGTTCACATCACCCATGTACAATTTATGGTAACAAGACAGTTGACTTTAACTCAGACATAACAATTCCTTGTAGTTAGGGGGTTTACCTTAAGATTTGTCTAGTTATCTATTCTAGTGCAGGAAGCAGGTGCTCAAAGTTAGGGATGAGGCTAGATGTCCCATTTCATGGTCAGTGCCTCCAGTGTCTGTTAATTTTGAAATAAATAAAGCAGATTGCTGATACAGACAGCAGAAGTCATTTTACATTTTCCTAACATTTTGTAGGCTTTTAGATTATTTACAAAAGTTCTCTCTAGCACTCAGCTATGGTGAAGTGTTTTAAATTACCCTGCTTTGCACAAACAAGCCATGTTGGAAGAAACAAACAAAAAAATGATTCTAGAATTTCTGTCCATAATAGAATTTTAAATAGGTGCATATAAAAATTAGGGGCTACCATTTGCTGTTATGTAAAAGAATATCAGACCTTTAGAAAAAAAAGGTATGACTTGAAACAGGGAACAATGGGACCCGTCCTACATTTGTTGGGAAGAGGACATAGCCAATCAAAACTTCCTCTGGGGCCAGGGCTTTAGCTCAGTGGTGCTCCTGCCTGCCTCACAAGTGCAAGGTCTTAAATTCAATCCCCAGTAACAACAACAACAACAACAACAACAACAACAAAAAACTTCCTCTGAATTAGCCAGAGCTGAGAGTGGTTGAGGGAACCACGTGTCACCAGCACAAGGACCAGGCATGGATGTCATATTCACTCAAAACTCTTTCTTGAGGAAACTCTTCTAGTTATTTGAGTTACAGAGATATGTAAGACTGATTTCATGGAATTTAATTGGAAATGAGGAAGCTATTCACTAACACAATAAATAGGCATATGATATGGCCAGAAAGTCTGGAAGGGCACACTGACTTATATAAGACAGGATTTCCTGATACACAATGTATGATCTGCTCTGTGGTGTCGCATGTTACAATCCATGTAGTGCCTGCCCTTCTTCTGCAGCATAGAGTTCAGGGCACTGTGCCTCTCCACTGTCTCTGTGCCACATCTGTGATGTTGTTTTGTCTCTGTTCATTCAGTTGTCTTTACCTATAGAAACCCCAGAAGAAGCAATTGAGACAATTCAATCTCTATATCTTTTAAATTCTGTTTTCTATGTTCTGTAGTTTATGGACACCTTTTAGCAGTGACGGAGGACATTGAGTACTTCCCATGATAATAAGCAACCATAGGTTATGCATTATGTGTTATGCATGCCAAAGGTTTGCCACCCCTGTCCTATAGAATATAATTCAGATGAGCCAATGCTAGAAGCAAGAATTACCACAGTAGTTAACAACTATATTTGTTACTGTGTGCCAAGCACTGTTCTAAGCCAAATCTTCTGTACTTTTCTGGGCATATCAGTCAGCTGAAGTTCTTTATTGAAGTGCAGATTCTGAGTCAGTAGTTTCCCAGAAGGGACGGCGAATGTAGATTTCTAACAAGCTTCTGAGAGGTAGCCAAGGTGTTGGGAAAAAAGGCCACTCTTCATGTACGGAGGAAGCATTTCCCGTGATGAGTACTTGCTCAAGACTTCATAGATTGAAGAGCCAATATATCATCCCCGCAGGCTGTGACTTGATAACTTTTAATCACAGTACTGTCTGTATAGAGAATGACTGGGATGTGGGCAGGTGCTATAGATAGATGGTCAGGGAAGTGGCCATGAGCAGGGAAAGGAGGAAGGAAGCAAGTCAGAGAACTGCAGAAGAGCACAGGTAAGAGAAAACCACAGGTGCCACATTCAGCAGCGATGAGGTCCTTACACCCACCAACTCCTCAAAGTGCTTGGTGAAGAGATTGGGAAAGGAAAGTATGAAAGGAGTATTATGCCAGTGCACATAAAAAATGTGATTTCTATGACAGAAAGACAGTCCTGTTGTAGTCTAGAACTCAAGATCTATCTATAAGTAGAATGGGTTCAGTTCTCGACTGCACTGTACTAACTGTATGAGATTGGACATATGAACGCATTGGTTCATGTGGGCTGCTGTAAGAAAATACCAAAGATCCGGTGACTTGCAAACAAAACAAAAACTTAATTTTAACAGTTTTGGAAGCTTGCAAATTCAAAATAAAGGAGCTGGCAAATTGCTATCTGGTGAGGGACTGCTTTCTGGCTCACAAATGCCATTGTTTTGCTTTTCCCTACATGGAAGAAGGGTGAACAAGCTCGCTCACATTTCCCTCATGATGGCACTGATTCCATTTATGAGTTTTCTGCCCATGGTCTCCCCATCTTCCAAAGGTCCCACTTTCTAGTACTAACAGATTAGAGGTTAGGATTTCTATGAACAAGTTTTGGGGGACACAGATGTTTGGGCCTTGTCATTTGTTCACTGTCCTACTTATTTCAAATGTGACAAAGACCAGACAGGGAATATTAGAATTAAATGAAACAAGCTCATAAACTGTCTGGCACATACTGAGACCTGAATAAATATAAACTACCATGATTATTTATGTAAAAAACATAAATGGCCAAAGCTTAAGCTTTAATTGATATGGTTAAACTTATAGGTAAAACAATGACTGAAAGAATATGAATGTGCCAGAAGTGCAAAGAAAATAATACACAGAGATGTGCTCCATAGGGAGAAATGGCAGGATTTCTCTCTCATTGATTTCCTTCTTCTAAGCCAGGACTGAGTTTCTTATAGTTTTGAGACAACCTAAGTTCCAAAGAAAAGCTGGAGTCTGCTCCAACTTATGAAACAGTCCATTAGGTTTACCCCTTCCAGGTGATAGTTTCTCTTTTGCTTGAAAAGTATTTCCCCTGAGTTCCCTTAAAAATCCTACTTCTTTGAATTTTACAGAATCTCCATAGAATAAATTTGCTTATGTTTAGGCTTTTAAGGGAGTCATTTGTATATAGATTTTGGAATTCCGTATGTAATTCCAATATAATTTGGTTACTACCAAGTGTTCAGGAATACATTTTCAGCACTTACATTGTAGTTAAAAATGGATGTTCCTGCTTGCTTTAAAGATAATTTTAATTGCTTAGCTACTCTCACATTACTCTTCTTCCCTTGGACGACTTTCCCAAGTGGGAAGGAAAAATCACCTGTATGGGGTCTGAATAGAACAACTTTTGGAGGACTAGCTGAGTAGTTCATATCATTCTCATCCGGCCATGTTGCCAACACGAAGTACCTTGTTTGCAGAGCTGTTAGGACAATTCAGTAGAGACTGTAAAGCAAAGCTGGGTGGGTTTTTCCCACATGGCATTGTGATGTTTTGTTCCTCCTGTGCTGCAGAAAAGGAAGGAGGCTGTTGAGAGTGGCAAACAACAAATTGAAAACACTTTAAAAGAGGGTAATGATGTACTTGGTGAAGCCAGCCGACTTGCAGATGAAATCAACTCAGTCATAGAGGTGAGTATTTCATAAAACTTTGTTTAAAGAGAGACAACACTGCCAGAGGGTCTCATAAATTGAGAAGGAGAGATCTCAGTAATATAAGTAAATACTGATATGTGTTCTCTTATGGTAAAACTTTTTTACCATATGTGGTATGGTAAACTTTTTGTGCTATGCCTTCGTGATCGTGTCCACCTATTGATAATAATTAGAATTTCATGTTGTTTTCCTGATAGACATGTGTGTTTACATAAGGATCCTCACACAGTTACACAACCTGGGCGTTACTTTTTTTTTTTTTTTTTTTGTAGGCGAGACTGACCTGGAACTCACTATGTAGCCCAGGCTGGTCTCGAACTCACAGCGATCCTCCTGCCTCAGCCTCCCAAGTGCTGGGATTACAGGTGTGCACCACCATGCCCGGCTGGGCATTACTTTTTCAGTGATGAAACAATTTCCTTGTTCCTAGAGCAGGACTTGTGATCTGTTTATGCATTATGTAACATTAGTTAAAATAGAAACGTAAGTCTACAAGCAGCCTTTTAATATACTGTCTAGGGTACAACACAGTGATATGCAGTAATAGAAATGCAATGTTCTGAAAGATCCTAATGACTGTCACTTATACAGTTATAGCTATAAAGTAAAGCTTTTTAAAAAGGTAAGTTCTCCTTGGTACACATTGGTTTCATAAAGTTCCTAATGTTTTTATTAAATAGCAACTTTTATTCTCTATGCTCTTTTTGCTATGCTAATAAAATTTAAGTTTTATGGAAATACTAAGTATATGAATTATATCACAGAGTAATTAATAAATTCCCAGAGACTTAGATTCACTTGCTTACCATGCTGTCTCTTCTGTGTGCACGTCAGTATGTTGAAGACATTCAAACTAAATTGCCTCCGATGTCGGAGGAGCTCAAGGATAAAATAGATAAGCTCTCCCAAGAAGTCAAGGATAAGAAGCTTGCTGAGAGGGTGTCCCGAGCTGAGAGCCACGCCGCTCAGCTGAATGACTCCTCCGCTGTCCTTGATGGGTATGTCATTTGTTGTTGGAAATGACTGTGGATCTTGATGCTCATCTGAAAGTTTTGACAGGCATAAAGGGTAGAGAATCACTTTCAAATCTTGATTTCTATAATTACAAACAAAAGAACGACATGGCCCTTGGATGGAGGACCCTAATTAGGAGTGTGTTGGCAAAGTTCCTCTGGAGAAGTATCAAAAGTCTGAGTTAAAAGTAGCTTCAAATATGGCTTGTTAGGAAGTGAACACAGCCTTAGGCTACACTTAGAAAATGATTTTTTGTTCTTTATTAGAAAGCACAGCAGTGGCCTTATTAGCATTTTAAATAATAGTATATAAGCACACATTCGCCTTCAAATTTCAGTTTTGTATTTCTAATGGAATCAAAACAGTTTATTGTTGAAAGATGCTTTTTGAAAACGTGCTCCTCTACAGTGGCCTTTCAGTCTGTTTTTCTCCCTCTTTAAAACTCCAGGGAGGTACTACACCCTCCCCAGTGGGGTACCTGCTGACTACAGCTGCTCAATATAGCATGTGGGTCAGAAGAGAAAGGGGCAGGAGGGAAGAGGTGTGTTACTTATACATAGCCCTCTAGATATAAACGGTCTGTTGTCCTGCAGTTTTGTGATTGGCATAACCAATACAATAGCTATCAGCCCCAAGAAAATTTTTCTCAAATGAATCTACATTTAAAACACATCAGATAGAGGACTTTGTTTCCACGCTTAATACTCATTAATACAAAGTAGAATATTATTGTTTGAAAAGTCCTAGACATTACATGTACAACTCATTTTATATCAGACTTTTGCCAATTTAGAGTAAAGACAGATAAAGGGAACTGTAAGCCAGGAGTCAGGAGACCTGGGTTCTAAGTTCTCAGCCAGGAGTATGTTAGTCCTACGACCTAAAATGAGCCATTCAACATTCTGAGATTTCTTTATTTCTTTATTTCCTCTGGAAAATGCACCTACCCCAGAGAGATTTTGCAAAATTCATTCAGTATGGCATCAGCTCTCTGAAACTGGCTGCCTCTTTCAAAAATAATGTGAAAGGTCATCATGCTTGCCTGCTACCCATGGCTGCTGAGGCTTCCAGAGGGCACTATGGATGTTTAAGATGTGTCAGTAGGATTTCATAGCTGAACTGTTTGGAAATATGTGTTTAAATTAAAAATGATAACACGATACCATCTAGAAAATACTCTGATTTGGAATTTTCATATTGGCCATGATCATTTGGAAGCCATGTTTATTAGTACTTGGAAGACCTTCATTTGAGTACTGACTGCTCTGGTTTCATTTTTTGGGTCATCCCAATAGAATCCTCGATGAGGCTAAGAACATCTCCTTCAATGCCACTGCAGCCTTCAATGCCTACAGCAATATTAAGGACTACATTGATGAAGCTGACAAGGTTGCCACAGAAGCCAAAGGTCTTGCCCTTGAAGCTACAAAACTGGTAAGAAACAAATAGCCTTATGTGCTAAAACCAAGATCAACATTTTTCACTACATTCTGAAACTAAATCTTGCCACCTGGAGCACATTCTGAAAAGCCCCAGTAATTAGGATACTTGTCTTGCAATACAGTCGAAGGCTTCTTTTCAGTTTTCTACAAAATAAATCCTCAGTGTGCTACCATCACACCACAACTCTGTTCTCAGGCATCCCCTTCTCATCAATGTCAGAATCTTTGAAATCAGTGCAAAAGCCAAGCACATTTGTGCCACTGGCTCACAGAATCTCCCAGAGAGAAGTGCGTCACTGTTACTCCAAATGTCATCAGTGTAAAAAAAAACAACTCCTTGAAAATTAATACCATTGCTTATGATCACACACAAGAAGTCTGACTGGCAAATGAGCTTTTTACCAAACACATCAAATCGTATACTTTTAAACTATTTACATTATTTTTATTCATTGAAAAACCCTTAGCCTATTACTGCAGTCAGTGTTCAGAGTATATTTAGAACTAACGTTTTAGAGCTTGGAGGTTTCAATTTATGCCACCTTATTTGAATATCATTAATAATGACGTCTTTATATGCAAAGAAATATTCTGCAAATAAGTTGTGAGATAAATCTTGGTAATACTATTTTAGATTAATAAACACCTTGCAAGAAGAATACTTTTAATTAAAATGGTCACAAGTATCACTTATTTACCCCTTTGTTTCACACACACGAGCTCCAAATATATCAGAAACTTGGAGGGAAAAGAAACCCCAATTAAATATTTGATTATGAAGTATACATAAATCAGATTGTTGAAGAAAGATTAATATTTTCTTTGCTTTGATTTTGAGCAAAAATATCATCTTGGATCTCAGAAATATTACAGATAATGACCACAATCTCAGGAGGATTATTCTGGGATCATAACGAGGATATAATATTCTACCAACAAGTACCACTCTTTCTGTTTTCTCTGGAATGAGCCCAGCCAATGTCATGTGTTTATTCCTTATTCAAAATAGTGATGTTATCATTGCAGGAAGTTTCCTATACTCAGTTATCTTTTCTAAATGCACTTAGATTTTAAACGTAACCTACATTTTATTCATTTTTTATTGATAGTATTCTATTATACAGGCTGTACTTTTCGAGTTCACCATTTTCACCCCATCTGCGTTTTTTTATCAGATGACCATTTCCAGCACGTATGTCCTAAGACCTAGAAACCAGCAGATACTTGTGAATGAATGAATTTCATTGTAACTGACACCTTCTATGCCCATTTGAAATCTTTTATATAAATAAAAATCTTGCTCTTGTCATTGTTTCATGCTTCTAAATATCTTCTAACGTCTGCTGTTAAAGACCCATCCGATTTCACCTACACTTAGTATTAACTTTACACAGAGGAAACCCTCAGTATTTTACCGAAATGAAACGTGTACTCACTTCTCCTGACCACTGCTGCTTTTACCTGATAAGCCAACCAATCCATGATAAGGTGTCGTGCATTCTCATGTGTCTCCACTTAGGGTTATTCCCTTTTTCCACAAGCCATGTAAAAATGATTGAATGTCTGAAAAAGTACAAGGTATGTGCTAAAGAGAATCACAAATTTATTAAATGGCTATCAGCAAATTTAAAATGGCAGAAAGTTCACTGGACTTATGAGCAGAATGAACTAGTGTTTAATTTTTAGAGGTCATTAAAATATAACTAGATTTTTTTCTGGAAACAAAATATATTTGCCAAACATTAAGTTGACCCTGAGATCTGGTGTTGTTATTAAAGTTACAGTCAAACACACAAGGGTATAATCAAAATTATTATTTATGAAAGAAGTCAAAGGAGAACAATATAGATGAGTCTTCTACTCATTGAGTCTGGCCCTAGAAAGAAAAAAATGTTACAATGAATTGGAAAGAAAAATTAAAGAAATAAAGTGTGTATTTGCAAAGTAAAAAGAACTATTAGATAATAACAAAATAACACATTATCAGTGTGAAGAAAACAGAGATCAGAAAATTTGAAAAGACAAAATAAAGTATCAAAAATACTGTAGGGAGAGAAACAAATATATGGTAGAAATAACCTGTAATTGAGACTACATGTTAAAAGTAACTTCATGTTTTCAGATTTACTTGTCTGTTAATTAAAAATGGAACTGAAAGAAATATGAGAAGTTGAACTTCTATAAGTGGGAGAAGGCTATATACAATTTAAGTGTGTAAGAGTATTCTCATGCACAGTATTAATTGCTTGTTTTCCATATGAAATATTATTTTAAGAAATGAGGCATTATGAGAAAAAGCTGACACCATTTTCCTATTAGTGTTTGGTGGGGAAGGTATTACAAAGCATTTGTCTCCCTCAGTACAAATTCCATGAAAACCTCTCATGCAGTACTTCTCTTTGGTGAGTACAAGGAAAAGCAGAAAGGAAATGTGTTAGTCTTTAATAACAGGATGAGAATAATGAATAACTTTTAATTAATTATTAAACAATTTGTTGCTTTTATCTTTTGAGAAGATAATGAAAAGTCTCCAAGACAACAGAAAACAACTTTTTTTAAATTTCTGGGTCATAGTCAAACTTGAAACCTACATGATCAGCAATACATCGTATTTTTTAAATTGGTGAGCAAATAGATACCACATGCTGTGAGATCCTATAAACGCCACACTCTTAGCTAGCCAATATAATCTTATGGGATCACTGTCATATGTGCAACTCATCTTTATACAAAACACCAGTATGTGGCCTCTCCCTGTGTACAGAGAGACCTGTACTGTAAAGAACTGGCTCGGGCAATTATGGAGCCTCTCAAGTCTGCAATGTTCAGGGCATGCTAGCCAGCTAAAGACTCAGAGAAGAGTTCATGTTACAGCCTTGAGTCCAAAGGTAAGCTAGTGACAGAATTTCTGCAGAGATCCTCAGACTATTGAGATCTTCCTTCCACTGATTGGATGAGACCAACCCACATTATGGACAGTAATCTGCTTTACTCAGAGTCCACTGTTTTAAGTGTTAGTTTCATCAAAAAATATCTTCTCAGCAATTCCTGGACTGGGGCTTGGCCCAAACCTGGGTGCTATAGTTGCATAATTTTGTTACCTAACCATCACTAATAGTTATACATTCCATATACACCAGGTACAAAGATATGAAGTAGAGAATTTTCAATTAATTCTATAAAGGGTAAAAAGTAGAAAGACAGAAACAAACAAAAACCCATGGTGAATATAGAATTCAAAAGATGATTTACCTAAATCCAAATATAGAAGTCAAAATAACTGTTACTACTTGCCTCAAAAAATGAGTACTGAAATTTCAGAGGCTGAGCACAATTTAAATTTATGCTTCACATTTCAACACAATGTGTGTCACACAACTATTGTGCATGTTATAATGGCATGACACCATCTAGATGCCAAGCTTGTCATGGCAAAAAAAAAAAAAGGCAAAAAAGAAACATGTCAGCTCTTACATGTTGACCTGTGTGGCCTGGATTATATCTGTTCTAAGTCTATTTGGCCAAAATTAGTCATGTGTCCAACATAACTAAGGGAGGATGGAGAAATAGCACATAAAATGTGTACAGTAGCAACTATCTTAACTTCAAATTGTCTTCAAACCAAAATGCAAAGCAAATTAAAACTTCCAGTCGGGTAATGATTTTCACATTGGATTAATAATGTTTCATAAAGACAGCCATCTGTGTATGACTTACACAAAATACTGTGAAACCATAAAAGGACAGAAGGAACAAACAGGAACAGACACAGCAATGAAACTATAGCAAGAAGAAAGCTGCCATAGCATGCTTAACAACAATCACAATAGGGTTAACACTTGTAAAAAAGAGTTCATAGGGATAAAGAGACTCCCTGTAATAGAATAAAAAAAAAGTTAGCAGGAAGAATAAAAAGTGGTGAATCTGAAAGGCCTTAATAGCAAAGCCCAAGAATGAATGAAGAGGACCACATCAGCATGAGAAAATGGATATATTCATAATGATGTATTTGACGATGTCACTTAAAAATTGATAGGTCAAGCAAAGAAATGTCACTGTGCAAATTTGAAAAGTGCCATAAACATAATCGTTTAATGGCCTTATAGAACTTTGCAACAACTAAATAATTAATTCTACATGCACCATTGGATAAAGTACTCAAGAAACTTAAAAAAAGAGGCCATGAACTAGAGCACAAAAGAAGTGTAGCAAACCCTAATGATCCAGTGGTACCTATGCTATGTTTTCTGATCACAAAGCAATAAAAATAGAAACAGGTGCAAAAGTATTGCTGAAAATCAGTTTTAAAATTAAAAACACACTTCAAAATAACTCTGGGGTCAAAGAAAAACATAATTTGAAAAAAAATCAGACACAAGTTTAAATACCACACACTTTTTCTTATATGGGAATCCCAAAGTATAAATAAATTAAAGGGTAAAATAAAAACTGGATAATAGGAAAGACAGAGATAGATTTAAAGAAAGAGATGGAGAGTATAAAAAGAATTAAGATGTGCTAATATGCATGTCCGACTCCCCACAATAAATGTAATAATTATGTACTGCAGACATGTACAAAAAATAATAATTTAAGTTGCACAAAGGAAATTACAAAACACTTAACGGAATCAAAATGAAGCCTCACAAGTCTATGGCACGCAAATAAAGGAGCCCCATAGGTGATGTATGCTTTTACATACAGATTTCAGGAAAGGGTAAGAACCAAAACTAATGATCTGAGGTTTATGTTCAAGAAGTTTAAAAAGGTACAATGGAAGAAATAAAAATAAATGCAGAAATTAACGATGTAGGGAAAAAATTAGCCACGGTTGACAGAACGGAAAGCTGGTTCTGAGAATAAACAGGCAAATAAACAGAAAAGGCAGGGATAATGAAGTAAACAGGGAGAGGTGACACATAGGAACAGGATTAGAATGAAATGAGGATGGTAGCTGGATACCCCTGTGGAATTTAATCTGAATATGAATGTACCAGGATGCATAAGGCACTTATTCAAATGAATTTAAATACCTAAACGAAGTGGACAAGCATCTACATGAAAATTTAGTAAAAACAAATATGTAAACCCGAGTTAATTAAACCATTAAATGAAACAAGTACAACAAATTAGCAAAATCTACCAAAATTTTAAGAACTGCAAAACATTCCAAAGAGCAGAAAGAGAAGAAAAGTTTCTCCCACATATTTTATCAGGCTGCTATAATCTTGATGGCAAAATCTCTTAAAATACTGAAAAGCAAAACTATAGGATAACTATCTAAATAGAGATACAGAATTTTAAAAACAATATTGATAAATTGAATCCAAGTGTACACATATTTTAAATATCTGGACAAGTGGAGCAGAATTTTCCAGATATGTGTGATGGGAATACAGCTGTCTGAAGTAATTTCTGCATTTATCTGTATGCTTAAATTATTTTCTCATTAAATACATTTTGGGAGAAGAGATAGAAGGTCAGTCCTGCAAGATCAGTCCTGAGAGCATAAAAAATAAAAAAATTAAAAAGTAGGTTTAAAATAGGTTTGGGAATAAAACAAAATCCTTCACCCTTAACACAACAAGAGTCTCTATATTTCTTTTTTTTTAATTCATAATGCATGCAGATTTTAATTTTTTTAATGGAAATTGAGCCTGATAACTTAAAGCAATAATTCCCCAACCTAATGTTTTTCTCACTGCTAAGCTCACACCCCCAAGGGGAACCACTTCTAAATCTTTTCCACATTTCTTCTTCTGTCTCTCAGTGGTACCGTTATGGGGCCATTGTCGGTTTTTATTAACGTGGCACTGTTTTTTGGTTCCTGCTATACTGAGTGAGATGCGCTTCACTTAGGGTATCACATGATGCCTTCCTCCCATCCGTTCCCCATATGGGAGCATCACAGTACTTTGATGCTATGTTGCTCTCCATTTAAACTGATAGAGTTACACATAGAGCTCTATCTCCTGACCCATAAATGGTGGATTCTGCATGCATAAGATGAAGTTACTTGGCCCTCATCCTCCCGTTCCTTCCCCTCTTTCTGTCCTCTCTCAACTTCTACCCCTTTCTCTTCCATATTGTCAGAGTCCATAATTGACACTCTATTAATAGCCATCATTGTCCCGTGGAAGAATGTGGAAATCTTTTCTTTCTCTGGAGATGATTTTTGTTTTCTCCCCCGGGGGCAGTTGGTGCCCGGTGGCTGCTCTGTGTGGGAGGGAGGAGTGGTACTGGCACTTCAAATAACTAACTTGCAGTAGATTCTGTCTTTATTCTCCTGCCTCATTCTCATCCTTGACCTTACCTGCTGTTTCTGAGCCTGACCTGCTGCAGACTCTTTGTACCACCTTTCAGCCTGGTACCCTACTGTGCGAGGTGTGGACACAGTAACTGAAAGATTGCGGTAGTAAGTATCTGAAGAGCCCCTTTGGCACGGCTGGCGGTGCCGTGCTGCTGCTGAAGGGAAGGTTCCTCCCAGAGGTCAGGCACTTCTTTCTGATCCAGTCTTCTCTACTCATGGCTTTATTTCCCGCTGATCTGCCCTGCCCTGCGTG